TGCCTGCCTATCACGTTGTAATGATAAATTGTGGTCATAATGCTTGAGCATCAGGCACTGTGTCCGTGGTTTACTTAATTCTGACGTTTATTTATTGCGCTAGAACAACAGACAATACTAACTGTTCGCAATTGAACCACTAGCTAACCTTTTTTGGATGCTTGCAGTAAAGCGCAGTTGGCTGAATTCGTTGTTCAACATATTTCGAAATTAATAGGAAAAGTCTTGTTACTTTTGGACTTGAATCCGTGCAGGTGCAAACCCGAACTGCTGTTGCATTATAATTAAACATCATCATGGTCATATATACTGTGACAGGGTGCTCTGCCGAAGGCTTCAGTAATGTTAAACGGCAAAACGATAAATACGTTTGCCTGGTCAAGAGATTAACATGTTTCATGAGCAGGCTGGAGAGATTAAACTGGCAAAGAAAACCGAAAAGTGCGCGTTCCATTGGGGACATCCTCCTTTGCAATATCCAGAAAGTAACGTACGCCAGCCTCTTCAATTTCATGTTCTGCTGTCATGCTGTGAGACGTGATCACTTACTGAAGCTTAGGAGCGCCAAGCATATCATAGAGAGATCCACGGAAGAAGGAACGTTGGGAATTTCACGTCGCGGCCACATCTGCAACATCGTGATCAGCAGATGAAAGTGAAAGATGTCGAAAAAAAGCGGAAGAGAAAATTACGGTGTGCCCGACACATGAGTCAGCTCACCGATGGAAGATGATTGGCGTTAAAGGTTAAATGGTACCCTTGCAAGTGGACTAGGCCGCTCGTTCGCCTACCAGGAGGGTTGGAAGATTATATCTGGACCCTGGAAGATATATGCTGCGCAAACAGGTGATTCTTTAGCACATTAAACCTTTTTCAAAGGAATAGTCTCTAGATTCTGCGTTGACGCAGCTAATGATATCTCCTTTGATGTTGACAGGCAGCGATGAAAGTATTGAAAGCCAGTTGTAATATCAGCCAGTCACTGAATTTCCGTCACCGCTTATGCTTTCGATAGAAGAGAAACAAAGTCTATAGCCGAATCCATCGGTATACTTGGTCGAGGTTAACCACCATCCTGTTATAATTATCATAGAATGAAATTCATTTTCGCATACATTCGCAAAATTGAATTGACAGGTGGGGGTTCAGTGGCTAACTTCTGTTATGTATATATTTCTTTCTGTTTTATTGCCAACTCCTTTGACTGATATTAAAACGAACTTATCATGTGTTTAACAGTTTGTATTGCAATTATTATAGTTAATAATTGTGCCAAGTTCTTAGTAATATTGTATATCACGTGCTTAATTTAGGTACGCAAAGTCGCTAAGAAATACAAAATGCTGTATGACGAACAGGTCACTCTGCGCACTGAAGCAGAAAGTAAGTTAGAAGTCATGGGCAAGGAGATTGAAAGCAGTCAACAGGAATGTTCGAGCGTAAAGAAAGAAAATGAAGAATTACGTGTAAGTAGAATGTGATTGAAGGCACCTGCTTTTACCTAATAATTTGGCAATTTCTGTGTAGGCAAAGTTACAAGCTTCCATAAGCGCTCAGCAGAAGATCGAGGCCGAAGCAGCTTCTGCACCGGCGGACCAAGAAACTCAAAGGGTGTGCTTTTTGTTCTTTGTTGTACGATGAGGGAGGACTTTTTATAAGTACTATATAATCATTATGTGTTATGAATATCATCGTACATAATGCATCATTTCTCTCTGTTTATCCTGTTGACCCTCTTTTACTGTTTCAGGGCATTTGCAGTTGTGTATAAGTGGATATAATTTTCTGAAATTTGATCTGCTGAGATCGTCTCATAAACGAATGATCCATTCAATTTGCAAAGTGCGCTACACCGTTTTTCAGGCTATGCCAGTTTTGTAGCGCGAGAGTCATTAGTACACAGTTTTTCAACATAGTGGACTTCTGTGCCCAAGGTTCTTTGACGGTTTTTGCCAATCCTGTCAAACGTTATGATGATGTTCTTCGCCAGCTTGTGTTCATCACTAAAATTTAACATATAAAATGGTTTGACGGCTCTTTTTTATTTAAGAAAATTAGAGAAATCAGAATATCGCTTGTGGAAGCCAAAGGCAAAATTAGATTATTAGACGGCGAAAATTCGACTCTCAAAGGAAGCTTGAGCTCCACCCAAGAAAAGCTTGCTACGGTGTCAAAGGCTTATGGTACGTCATTTTTCTCTTTTAATTAACTTAACAGTTTTCCAGGTTTTTAGTTCTAATGCTCTAGATATGAAGTAACTGCAGAATTGCTTTTCTTGTTTGTTTTTATGCCAGTTCTTTCGGTTCAGATTCGATTCTAGTCGATGTGATATGATTACGAGGTAGATCACTTAGAAACAGAGAATTCGGTTGCTTGTGATGTGTTCTTGCGTTATTTAGAATTTATTTGGTTTACATAAATTGTTTATAATGTTGATGTGCTTGTTTATATTTTATTTCACAGTAATCAAGCATCCACCGCGTCACCCTCAGCAGCGTGAAAGAAAAAAGGAAAGTGTATTACCGCCGCAGTGTCTGTCTTCCTTACATTAATGATGGGGCTATACCTTATCATGACAGGCTTGCCCCTATTATTAAAGATCCTAGTGGAGAACGCTGATCACCCTCTCAGTGCCATCTGTCAGAAGTGTCCCATAGTCGACAGCAGTCATATGGCCAGCTTAATGTATAGTCTCCTGTTGCTTTCCTGCCAAATGGAACTCAATTATCAACCTCGAAAGGAACATGGGCAAGTTACCCGCCAGGGCTAGAACCCATGTTCTCTAGCTTCTGAGTTGGACTCTCTGCCTGCTAAATAATCTAAGTCCTGTAGTGTAGATTCATTAGATATAGCTCTTGTTTGATGTATTGTTGCAGTTTTTAGAACTGCTGTTATGAAATTTTATAGTTTTTGCTGTTATTGGTTACTTTGTTAGGTTTATATTATTTGTTTCTACTGGGTTTCAGAGGAATTAAAGTTCCGTCACGACACCCTCAGTACTTCACATGCGATGTGTGAAGCTAACCTTGCACATTTGCAGAACAGAATTAAGTCCTTCTCGCTGATGGTTTCGACTGCTAGCAGTGAGAAGGCATCGAAACGCGGGAAACAGACCGCTGAAGCTAAGGTACCTTAGTGTGGTCAAATATTGGTGAATGGTTCTGATTAACTGTTGCTTTCTCGTAGCCTTCAGCGTCGTCATCCAAAGCAACACCCGTTCAGCTCGTTGCAGCGATGCCCGCGACCAGCTTTGCTGCTCCTCTAGATCGGTAACTGGTTCACAGCAAATGCAGCACTACCGCTGTTCATGACTTTGTTCTTTTTTTAGTTTTGGCGGCCAGGAGGAACCTGCTTCTTTGACCATAAGCAAAGTTTCTCCTCGTCTGGCACCCACCGTGGCCAGTGTAAAACCCTTGCCTTCCGTTCGTCTA